GGATCGGCGTCATCATCATCCTCACCGGGGTGCCCATTTTCTTCCTGGGAGTGTTCTGGAGAAGCAAACCAAAGTGTGTGCACAGACTCACGGGTGAGCTGGGCAGCCTCCCCCAAGTGCTGGCGCTACAGATGGGACTCTTTAGGGGGTTCGCCCTTGAGCAGGGTCTACCAGCAGCTGTGCTAGCAACACAGGGCCAACCACCCCAACTGTCTCCCCACGATGAGGCCCAAGTGTCCGGGACCCACCACAAATGGAGCAGCTCCCTGAGAACCCCCATCCCACGGGTCAGATCCCAAGGTCCATCTGTCTGTCTGTCTGTCCTCAGAGTCAATGACACGTTGGGGGCAGGAGCTGTGTTTCGTGGTCTACCCCCAGGGCGCTCCCGAGGAGGAGGAGAACGGCCCCTGCCAGCCCTCCCCACTGCCCTCCGTGGACAAGCCCTTGAAGACACAATGAGACACTTATGGAGCCTGAAGCAGCTATTTCTGTTTACATGTTGTTTATTGAGGAGGTGTTTCGGAAAAAAAGTTGTTTTTCCTGGAAAAAAAGAGTTCCCACTCTTAGCGGCCTGTAATAAGGAAGCCTTAAGATGTGGACTAGGTCCCCTGCCAGCACGGCCCTGCAGGCTTTTCCTGAAAAGATCTATGAATAAAACAGGGCTGGTGGTGCACTTATCTCAGGTGAGTCCCAAGGGCGCATAACTCTGCGGGCACCTGTGGAGCAGGTGGGGAAGGTGCCGCAGGCTCTGGAGGAGGCCCCTGCACTGGGGGCTCTGCCACTTGAGCCGGGCACTTCCTCTCTGGGACTGGCAGTCGGGTCCAGCGCCACCTCTGCCCAAAGGGACATCGAGGATTGGGAAGCAGCGGGTGTGCCCTCCCCAGGCCCAGCAAGACCTGGCTGAGGCTCAGCCTCTCCCTCCCGCTGGGAGAGTCCACAGATTCCCTCCAGAGCGGCCTTTGTTCCCATAAATCCTCACGGGGTGAGTGTCAGACTTCAGAGCTCATGCCTCACCCTGGTTTACAGGTAAGGAAACGAGGCCCTGAGACAGGAGGGGATGGATTTGGCCACTGTCAGCTTGTGCCTCAGCCTCTGTCCCCTGAGAAACATCGAGCAGCATCTCCCAGGGTCTTCCCCTCCCCCCGCCCACATTTTCAGTGCCCCAGTGCCCAGGAGATTGACCCTTTCAGCTAGGAGGCAAGGGTCATCAGCCTGGCCAGGCCCAGGCTTATACCACAGGCATGAGTTTGGGGGCAGAAGCCTCCTGGCCCAGCTCTTCCAGGTCCTGCCGGGAGGACGGAGAGCTCAGTGCCAACAGAGCCGACCTACCGTGGACGTGGACGGGTTCCATGTGCCCAACAGCTACGTTCAGTCCAGGCACAGCTCTGGCGCCCTCTGGGGTGAATGAAGTGAGAAGCCACAGACAACACCCCAGAGAGCTCTCCCCTGGTTCTCCTGCTTCTCTGGAAATGGGTTCCCAGAATGGAGGGCAGATAGAAGTGAGACCCCAGGTGTGTGTGTGGACATGGGACCACACGAGGGGCTCATCGTTCCACTCTCCCCTGCTGACCCCCCACAGCCCCACCCGCCTTGCCCACCAGGGGGATGCTGATGAGGCAAGCTGGCGGGATTCTGGGCGGGCCACACTGCGAGAAAGAAGGACGCAGAGGCAGGGTAGAAACAACTGTATATTCCCTGGTTACAAAGCGGGGCTGTGGCAGTCACCAGCGCGTCTGGTGGGTCAGCAGACCAGCAGGGCCTCGTCGTCACTGGCCTCCAACGTTGGGGAGCAGGGGGGTGGGGGGCTCCTGCAGACACCCAGTGGCTCTGGTGGGTGGGGGCCTAGGGTGCTGCCGGCAGTGGGGGCTAAGGAGTGAGGGTCCTGGGCCGAGCAGGGCTCCCGAGGCATGTCCACAGACGCTGGGCTGTCCATCAGAGGGTCCCTGCAGGCCTTTCTGTCCTTGTCCACTGGCCTGTACTCTGGGTCCTGCAGGCTCAAGGGGGGCAGCACAGAAGGTCCCACCTCTGGTGTATGGACGGGGGCACTGGGGGACCCATCTCCAGCTGCCCCAGCGCTGCCTGTGTCCGTAAGGGGTGCTGGGGGGTCCAGGGCGGCCCCTGGTGCAGGCTGGAGGAGCCCGTCACCCAACACTGTCTGTGAGGTGCGCGCAGCAGTCAGCAGTGGGATCTGTCCTCGCGGTGCCCGAGGCCGGTGGAAGAGCCGGTTCCACAGGCGACCGAGCCGGCGGCGGGAGGGTCCTCTGCGGGAGGCATGCCTGCGCATCTGTCGCCGCATGGCTGTGCGAAGGTTCTGTAGCACGGAGGCCTGGAGGGTGGGTCGGCGGCTGAGGGGGCAGAGGTCAGCACGACCCCCAAGGGACCCGAGACCCCAAGAGACCAATTTGTCCTCCCCATCTGGCCACGGCCCCCATGTCACCCTCCCCTGGCCTCACTTCCCGCCTCCATCTACCCCACTTTGTCTCAGCATTCCCGCAGGTCCAGCTGGGATCTGAGGACTGTAGGGTCTCATGCCCTCTGGAGCTCACCTGGGATGCACTGTAGACAGGGAAGTCCTCCACGGGTGGAATGAGGCCCTGGGCAATGAGCTGCCCATAGGACGGGGGTGCCTCCCGCCGCACAAACTCAGCCTCGAGGCGTGTCATCTGCGTCTCAAAGGCCCTGAAAGCAAGGGGCAGAAGGGCAGCATAGCAGGGCTGGCCAGGACCCCACACTTCCCGCCTCCCACCGGGCACTGTGCAAGGGCTCACAGCAGGATGTGGGCCCTGCCACACCCTCCAGACATCCTGAGACGCCTGGACCCTGGATGCACAAGAGAAGTCCCACATGGGTGGCCCGAGCCCCAATTTACCCACAGCTGTAGGAACAGTGAGCCCAGAGCCCCTCTCCAAAGAAATGAAGAAGCTGAGGCTCATGGCCTGTGACCCGGGCACCGGGCAGCAGTGAGGCACCGCCCGCCCACCTGTACTCCTGCGTGCGCAGTGAGTAGAGCTTGAAGGCGCAGCCCAAGGCGATGACGAGCAGCAGGCCACAGACCAGGCTGCCGATGAGGGCGGCGGTGATGACCTTCCGGGGCACGGCCGCCAGGCAGCCGTGCTCATCGCTGCCATCCTGGCAGTCCTCCTGGCCATCGCAGCGCCACGTCTCAAAGATGCACAGGTTGGTGCCACAGTGGAAGGTGCCAGGCTGGCAGGAGAAGCAGTTCTTCTCGTCAGCGCCATCGGGGCAGCTTTTCTGGTTGTTGCAGCGGTCAGCAGGTGCGTAGCACAGGCCGCTGCCACCCTCGCAGGGGTACTGGTCTGGGGGGCAGGCGGGGCAGCCCTGCTCATCTCGGCCGCTAGCACAGTGCCACCAGCCATCGCAGCGCTGTGGCTCCGAGAAGCAGCCCTGTTCACCTGTGTCACCCATGTCGCCCTCGATGCTGCTCCCACACGGCTGCTCCCATGGGAGGCAGTAGCCCTTCACCTGGTAGGTGGCGTTGAAGCCGTGGCCAGCGCTGCGGGCGCGGGCATGGTAAGCCACGGTGAGGCGGCCCTGGGCAGCCTCAAGGCTCACGGGCCGGTGGTTGCTGCGGTAGGACAGCGTCTGCAGCAGGCGGTCCCCACGCTCACCCAGGCCCTCGTACACCTGCACGTAGTCGTCATAACCCAGCCGCAGCTCCAGCTGCAGCAGCACACGCCGCGTGTCTTGTGTGTCCACCAGCCATGTGCAGTGAAGGTCCGAGGGCCCTCGGGCTGCACCAAACAGGTCTGGGGAAGCAAAGGAGCCATAGAAGCTGCCCAGCCGCCGGCCACAGGCCAGGTCAGGGCAGCCAGCCTCATCGGAGCCATCGCCGCAGTCCTGCGTGCCGTCGCAGCGCCGCTCTACCGGCAGGCAGCGCGTGGAGCGTGCCCCGCTGCAGGGGAAGGTGCCCCCAGGACACAGGCTTCCAGGTGGCTCGGAGGCAGGCGCTGAGCAGTTGCCCTCATCAGAGCCATCGCCACACTCATCCACAGTGTTGCACTGCCATGGGCCCGGCAGGCACTTGCCATTATCACAGCGGAACTCGTCTGCCTGGCAGGATGCCTGGCCTAGTTTCCCTGTGGAATGAAGAGAGCAGAGGAAGATAGTCAGGGGAGAGCAGGGCCTCCTCCAGCATGGGGCCTGAGGGCCAGGAACGGGCAGGGTGGCTCCCCCATTCCAGTGGGGCCTCTGCAGGGCCAAGGAAGAGGCAGGAGACACAGAGGAGAGCCCCTGGCCTCGCATGGCCACCTGAGGCATAAAGACCCTCGAATGACAGGTAGACTAAGTCCCTGACCTGAGGTGCAGGGTGATCTGGGTGAAGGGGTGAGCCCCCACTCTAACCAATTCTGGAGTGGGATCAGTGACCTTGAGGGACTCTAAGGCACCCTGAGGCAGCAACATGACGAGTCCCCATCCCACCACTGTGCTCAGCTGATGGGGTTCCTGGAGGAGACCCAGCAGGGAGCAGGCAGATGGGGGGTGCTGCTCTGGCCCCAGGCGCCCACGTGGTACACTGAGTGCTCTGTGGTGCCCTGCGATGCCATTGCTGGTGTCACCTCGGATGTATGAGAGACGGAAGCCCTGGGCCTGGCCGGAGCTGGAGGCATCAGAGTGGAAGAAGATCCAGACATGGTCCCGGGCGGAGATGAAGGCAGGCGGGATGGCAGAGCCGCAGAGCCGGAAGGCCTCCTGGCGGGGTGGGGCCGCTGGGCCCAGCATGAGCCAGTCCAGGGAGCACTGGTGGGACTCCTCCACGTCAAAGTTGCGGAAGCTGCAAGGGTGGGTAGGCAGGCAGGGCCCATGTGGCCAAGGACCAGCAGAGAACAATCAGGCCTGAGCTTAGAACAAGGATGGCCAACCCCACCCTGCACCTCCTCTCCTCCACTCCCAGACACCCAGGGATCTGAGGGCAGATCCAAGAAGAATAAAAAACTCTGAATAGTATCCTTCACATCAGACCCTGCAGCTCTGAGAAGGCCTTGTCAGCACACACACAGCATCCCCACCCCAAAGCCAAAGTGGAGGCCTAGTCAGGAGCCCCATCTTGGGTAATTCCCTCCCCTGATACCCTCCCAAGTGGGGAGACCCAAGGCCCCAGATCCCACCCACACTGGGTGTGCTGGGACAGACCCTGCACAAACTCACAGGCCTGTGCACTGTGGGGGAGGGGGCATGCCCCCAGGGCAGGGCTAGGCTGGGGCTAGGTGACAGCTTGTCACCTGGGAAGAAATACATTAGTCCTGGACCCCTGGCCCAGGCTGTGGGACGAGCAGATCATAGAGCCCCAAGTCTTTGGAGGAGGGTGAAGTCTTTGAAGAGAATGTGCCTGAGAGCCACAGCCCTGTGACCACGGGAAGGCAGGCACAGACAGGAGGGCGCCCTGATTGTGCCAGCACATCCCATGCTTTGGAGCTATGGGGTCACTGGGGGCCTTCTGAGCACTGGCATTTAGGAGAGTGACTCCCAGCCAAATATCCCCATGGCCACCCAGGCCAGGAGTTCCAGCATCTGTTCACCTCAACCCATGTCCCTCTGCATGTCCTGCAGCTGGAGCACCTGGGCTCCTGCCGAGACTGCCCTGAGGACCCTGGAGAAACCCTGCTCCGGGATCCGTGCCAGCCTAGCTGCTAGCCACCCCTGCAGGACAGAGAAGATACCTCTGCCACCTCAGAGAGCTAGACCATGCCTACCAGCCCCCAGGGCTCCCACTCCTGGCAGGCCTGAGGTGACTCACAGCCCCCACAACCCCTGAGAGAGGCTCAGGGCAAGACGAGGCCCAGTTCCATGTAGCCAGCCACAGAGGCCCACAGAGACCTGGGAGCTGGGCACACTCACATGCTCACAGCACTCATTTGCTTACAGCGCACACATGTTCACACCTGACTCTCACACGTACACTTGCACACTCACCTGCTCACATTTGTCCTCCTAACTTGCTGAGGCATGTGCTCATGTACATGCATGTGCTTAGACACTCACACATGTCATTTATACCTGCTGATTGAGCTCATACACATACACAAGCACACACGTGCTCAAACACATACACTCACATGTGCCTTCTACACCTGCTCACACATGTGCTCATACATATACACTCACATGCTCACATACATGCTCATACATGCACTCCATGCCTGCCCACATATGCGCTCAGTCACATGCACCATCACACACATTCTCTCCCTCTCCCTCTCCCTCTCCTTCTCCCTCTCTCTCTCTCTCTCTCTCTCTCTCTCTCCCCCTCCCTCTTTCTTTCTCTCTCTCTCTCACACACACACACACTTAGCTCTTGCAGACCCATATAGGTTCCCTTGGACACCCACCAGGGACTCCCATACCTGATGGTGATCATGTCGCCACGGTCACCCTGGATGTACCAGCTGCAGTTGGTGCCCGGCGGGTAGTTGAGGGGCCAGGCCGGGCTATAGATGACGCCACGCCGTTCTGTGTGCTGCTCCAGTTTCCCACTGCAGGCAGCTGTCAGGAGAGGAGGCGAAGTGCTGGCCTCACCTTTGGGTAGGAAGTGGGGGGAGGTGGGGACTCTTGGCTTGAGCACAGGCCTTTCCAAGGTGTGATAAAGGCCAGCCAAGGGTGGGCATAGCCAAGGGCAAGGCCACTACTTGAGACTTCATGGAAGTGGTGTATATGGAGGGACAAGGAGCACCCTCATGGACTAAGGGCAGCCGTAGCCCCCAACCCCATCTGTGCACAGAGCCTAGGCCTTATCTCCCCTCCCTGGCAGGCTGGAAGCGTGCCCAACAACTCCCCTCGGCACCGCTGAGGTGCAGCCTCGTGGCCTGGGCACCTCAGTTAGTTAAGAGTTCTGCACCCCTAGACCTGCCTGACCTCCCTGGGACTTGACAAATACAGCCCTCAGTCTGAGAGGAAGGAAGCTCTGTTCACCCAACACAGATGTGAGTACCTACTATGTGCCAAACACAGTGCTAGGCACGCTGAATAGACAGGCTCTGTGGAACTCACGGGCTGGGGTGGGGGGGCGGAGGGGATCACACTGACTTTATGCAGATCCCCTTCGTGGAACGAAAATAACAAAACAGGCCTGAAGGGAGGGGCAAATGTCCAGATGGGGCTGGAAACACAGGCTGGGTCTGATTACACAGAATTTGGGTTTTATCCTGAGCATAAGTGAGAAGCCACTGGAGGTAGATCTCGTAACCAGATGAGGAAACTGAGGCTCAGAGAGAATAAGTGGCCAGCCCATGGCCACACAGCCAGTGAGTGGCAGTCAGAGTCCACCCTGTTCCTCTGGTACGGCCGGGCCTGCGCCAACGCATTTATGACGTGCCACCATGCGCTGTACTACGGGCCAGTGCAGAGGTCACACCTGCCAGCGTGAGTGAGGGGCCACCATGCCCCTCCCCCCACAGCTCTCCTCACCACAGGCTCACTACACCCTCTTCATTATACATGCCCTCCACTTCCCAGCCTTCCCAGGACCAGGCAAGGCCCTGCCCTTGGCTGCTCCCACCCCTCACTGCCCCTTCAACCCTTCACCACGCTGCTTCACTGAATCCTCCCAAAAGCCTGTGGCAAAGGCGGGCCCTAATACCGACAGGAAACCTGAGGCTCAGGAAGACAAATGATGACCTGAGTCCAGTGCCATCACCTCCTCACTCTCCCACTGCCTGGCACCTTCCACTGTCTCCCCGGAAGCAGGGGTCTCTGCTGGCTCTCAACACAGCTGCACAAAATTTTGTCCTCATGCTCATAGGACAAGGACAAAATTCATCACAGTGGCACCAGCCCCTCACCTCTTCTGCCTCATCTCCCCCTACAACCCATCTTTCCACTCACACCTCCTGTAGTACCTCCCATGGGAGGGAAACTTTGTCCTGTGGCCCCTGGCAGGTGCTCTCCCCACCCATTAGCCCATCCACTCCTATGGGCTAATTAGCCAAAACCCCCATCCACAGCTCACAAGAAAGTCAAAGGACTAGAAGAGAAACACCACCACGTGACCCTAAAACCAGGCTGACCTCGCTCAGGTCGCCCCCAGAGCCTCGATGGTGCCAGGTCAGAGAGACGCTAGCCAAGACTCTCCACCTGGCACTCACCCTCGGAGGCCAGCCCTCCTGAACTTCAGATTTCTCACCCATAAATGGGAGCGATGCACGCCGGTCACAGGCCAGCAGAGGAAGGACTAAACAAACAGAATGGCCTGGCCATTCCCTCTGACAGGTGCGGCCACCAGCTTTGTGGACCTCACAGGGACCCTAGCTGTTGGCCTGGAGACACCCTGAGAGGTGAGGGGTTATGCAAGCCAGAAGAGACCTTCTCCTCTGGGAGGTGCTGGGTGGGAGGGTCACAGGCAGGGGGGCCTAGGCTGCTGGAGCGCATCTTCCCCCACGCGGAGTCTCTGAAGCACTGGCCTCTGAGGCAGGCGGCCCAGGTCAGACAAGCTGGGAACCACCGTATCCACAGCCCCAGGACACGATCTGGGCAGAGCAGGGCCCAGTCAATACCTGCTATGGCCTGGAAGCCTTCCCCAGAGACGAAACACTCAGAGGCCAGGTCCCTCACCCACACCGGCGGGAAAGCCATGCCTGCATGCCGTCCCTCTGGCCAGAATACTTCTCCCTCCAGGACTTATGTCTGGAGGGAGAAGTGTTCTCTTGGAGGGGTCAGGAGGCCTGTCTCAGACCACCAGCCACGTCAGGAACAGATGACTGGACAGCTGCCAGGCCAGCTCTGCCTCTCAGCAAAGCCTCCGAAACACATCCCCCAAACAGCCCCGCTCCTGAGGGGCCCCCAGAGCTGCCCCAGAAATTCTCACATCCAGGGCAGCAATGTCATTCAGTCACTGTTTGCTCTTCTCCAAAGCGGGCCACAGAGAACACAGTTGTGTCAGCCCAGCCACGCAGAGTGAATGTGGAGCAGGAGGGAAGCCGGGGTCAGTGCAGGAAGCTGGGAGCTCTGGTCAGGGCCTCTTGACTGGACACCTCTTGGCGATGGGCTTGGAGGGTACCACCAGTTCAGGCAACCAGCCCTAGCCCTCTTTGTGGTAGCAGGAAGCCCACCCAACACAGGCTCCAGGCACAGGCAGGAGAAAGTGGCTTAGGAACCCAATCTTGGGGCCTCTGCTTGTCCATCAGTAAAATGTGGTCAGTGGGTGCACTTCTCTGAGGGTGGTTGGGAAATCTGGAGAAAGTGGCAGACAGACATTCATGGGACGGGTGAGTGGGAGGCTACGCCCCGTGGGAGTTGAGGGTTGTGACAGGGTATGGGATGATGGGCCAGCAGTATGGGGAGCTGGGAGGACTGTGTGTTTGGGGAGATACTGGAGCAGAATAGATGATTTGGGGGGTGCTTAGGAGACACTCAGAGAGATCTAGCAGAGCTTTAGCTGGAGGGGACCTGTGTTCACTCGGGCAGAAAATTCCCTTGGCCCTCGTGGCAAAGTGGCCTGCTCAAGTGGGCAACGGATGACGGGGCATTTTTTAGAGCAGCGAGCGCCTTTCCTTCATCACATTCTCTTGAGAGGGCCTGGGCCTGCGGAAGCACAGCTGCAGACCCGGTTTCTAAAGGCCACCAATACCCCAGACAACCTGCCTGCTGTCACCGGACCACAGGAAGCTGGGACCCCCACCCCAGAAGCTCAGAGAAGCTGCCAGGTGAGTGCAGAATAGCCTGAAGACCTACCCAAGCCACCCCAGGTCATAGTGGCCACATGGCGGAGCCCAGAGTCCAAGGTGCAGGAGGCATTAGTCCCAGGGCTGAGATCCCCAGGACAGCCCAGCCAGGCCCTCAGGAGCCCAGTGAAGACTGGGAAGGGGCAAGGGGACAGTCCTGATCCAGGATCCTCACAGGAGGAGTCACAGGGAAAATCCTGAAAATGCAACCATGGAGCCCTGGGTCAGAGGGGGAGGGGGCCTCCGCTTCTAAGCTGTCTCTTAGCAATGCTAGAGGGGTCAGGGGTGGACTCCAGAAAAGGTAGGACCCAGACCACCACCTGTGACCACACAGACTGTTTGCAACTCAAGACACGGGGACACTGAACACAGGCACCATGATGTGGACAGAGGCCCCTGGAGCTGGACAATGTGGACCTGCTGGGACTGAGGTCTTGGTAGCTAAGAACAAAATGTGCGGCGCTCGGTGGCTGTCTTTCCCTCCCTGGCTCTGGGTGAACCTCATGCCTGTAGCATCTACACTGGGGCACAGGCATATGGCAGACATGTCAACCCACCACACCAGCAGCAGGGCTGGCCTGGGGCTGGCATCTGTAAGACCTGCACGCCGTCACACTCCCTCACAGCCAGCCAGTCTTCTCCTGGAAATGGTGAGGGGGCCAGGACGCCAGGCAGGGCTGGGCTGACTCCGTGCTGAGCAAGGCAGGGCCCTAGGCCAGCAGAGTCAGCAGAGGAGGCAGGCTGCAGGGAGCCGGAGCTAGTGTGCAAGGAGAATCGGGAGGAGACTGACAGGCCGGGTCTGAGAGGCGGGCCCATGAGAGCGCTCTGTGGACTCTGGGCCTCCCATCCCAGTGACCTTGGCCAGCAGAGACACCTCTCTTTGAACCAACCTCAGGGAGTTTCTGCTAAAGTTGAGCCCTGGGCAGAACTAGAAGTCCCCTATCTCCTGCCCCTCCACGCAGCACAGCAGACAGCAAACAAATCAGCAGGCACCCAGATTGGGGACCGCACATTCTCCCAGCTTCCCGAGGCCCTTCTTAGATGTCTCCTGGTGGCACCAAGGGCCATGAGAGTCTAGACTTACCCGTTTGCCAAACCCTGGCAACCCCCTCAGCAAAGAGCAAATGCCCTCATGGGCTCATCCTCCCTTCCCACTCCTGACAGTCTTTGCAACACTAGGCACAAGGCACAAGCACAAAGATGGCCAGTGGATGGACAGACCCGGTCTGATAGGCAAAGGCGGGGGCAGAGCTCCAACTGTGTTTTCTCGGATATTATATGTCTATTTGGCATCCATTCATTGCAGGGCCAAACTACCGGTCAGCGTGTTCACCTCTCTCCTGCATGCCGGTTTGTCTGGAGCCTGGCATTTCCCAGGCCGGCTGCTCCAAGGCTGAGCCCCACCCACCTTCTTACCTGATTCACACAGCAAGCCAATATTTCCCCTGCCTTAGACCATCCTAGCCAATTCTAAACGGTTTGCCTTGCCCTGCCTTGACGTTCCCACAGAAACTCCAATTGATGCTCTGGCCTTGGCCGCCCATGCATCAAACCTGATCGAACCTGTGGCCCTGCGTGGTGTGGCCAGTATCCCTTTCTCTCAAGACACGTACGTAACAACGTCTGTCAATGGCATTGACCTCTCCGTGCCCTCACTCAGTCATGCCTTTATTAATTAAATCCCAGGTATAATTCAAAAACAGGAAGCATCTCTGGCAGCTCATGGCCCTCGGGGAACCCCACAGCCTACAGGAAGTACAATCTGCCAACCAGACCAGGCAGTCTGCTAGTGGTATTAAGCCCTCATGTGTCAATACCATGCGAGTACCCTGCCTCGTTCGCTCATTCAACCCTAATAACAGGCTTTGAAGTAAGTCTTATTATTGCACCCATTTTATAGACGTGGAAACTGACGTTCAGGGAAGTTTAAGCTGGCCTAAAGTCAAACAGCCTCTTGGGGATGCAGAAAAGATACACCAGGACTGACCTCAGAGGTAGAACCCGGACCTTGAAGGCCTGTCCTCAGAGGTTACTAAACCGGAAGGCGGGGAAGAAGGGAAGAGGAAGGGAAGTGTCCTACTCACCTAAAGCAGGAACTGCGCTGCTGAGCCGGCCAGTGAGCACGATGTTCACTGCGAAAAACATAAAGAGGGTCCAGGGGAGGGTGGCTCTTGGGACCTAGGCACCTGCCGCTCAGGGGCACAAGACAACACAGCCCGAACTCCAGGCTGGTTCGCTTCCTCCCACAGAGCAAAAGCCCCAAGCGCTGCTACAGGGGCTGCTGCTCCCAGCCGGGCCTGCAGGGACCCAGAGGGTCTCAGAACCCACTGCACCTACAGCAGAAGAGGGCACTGTGCAAGCCGGGCTGCTCCTGCCCACTCCTGCCACTCCCACGCCTGGAATTCTAACTCACTTGGGAGGGGTATGTTCCTGTCTCCTGTTAGGCTTAAGAAGCTCAGGCCTGGACCACCCATCAGAGGCCCTGGCTCAGCCCGGGCAGAGGCCCTGCCTGTTCAAGGGGTTCCTGCCACCTCAGCCACTGCCAGCCAGGAGGTAGGAAAGACGTTCTGATCACCCCATTTTACAGGGGTGCACGCCTAGCAGAGGTCAGGGGCGTCTTTACTGTGCCACACTAACCTTGAGAAGGGAGGCAAGGAACTCTCCTGAAACCCACCCCCTCAAGTACCCCCCCCCCCGGGGGGGTTTGTCCTCTGCTTTCATGCACTGCTTTCCTGCAGGGGAACCAGGAGGAGGATATGGGCAAACCAGACTTCCCAGTGGTTCAGGGCGCCCCCTCCACCCAACATTGTGAGCCAAGGAAGGCAGAGGGTGTCTCTGGAGGGGTTAACCCCACCTGGCGAGGAAGCAGGGGCAACTGCCCCCTCTTGGGACACCCAGGCTCTGGGCCACATCTGCGCAGGGAGGGCCGGGGGAAGCCAAAGGGCTGTCTGCCTGCCCTGCCCGCCGGGAGCCCACCCAGCACTCAGAGTCCAGAGCACAGACCACCAGTAGGTTGGGGAGGGAGCACTTCGAAGCTCACACAAGAGGCAGGTGTCTTCCCTCACCCCCCACACACACGGCACCCTGATTCTTGCAGGGACAGGGGATCATGTAGCTTCAAACCTTCAGGTTTCTTTTTAACTGTCATTTCAGGAGCTTCGGCAAATCTATGGGGTTCCAGTGCCTTCCTCAATGACACCACAGGGTGTCCAGGACTGACCCCAGGCTCAGAGAAGGGCCTCCCCCCTTTATCCTGGTAAATAAGGGGCCATGTGCACTGAGGGTCTAATTAACTCTTTCCTTCTCTCCCCGACATAGGGCCCTGGAAAGGTGGGCAGACAAACTCCTGGGTAGGGCAGGGGCCGGCCCTGGTCCCGAGAAGACACAAAAGGGGGCCTGGGGCATTCTCGGAGCGGCCTCCGCCAGGCATCCGGAGTCCAGGCTCCGGTCAGCACCGCCCCCACTCTGACTACGGGCAGAAAAAGGAGACTTCCTGGGGCGGGGGGCGAAGGGGCAGCCGGTCTCGCCTTTGTTC